TCGATTCATCCTAGTTGGGAAAATTTACCACTGTGCGATGACAACAACTATATTACTACAATAAGTATATAGGTAGTAATACAATATATCAAACAATGCCATATTTTTATTTCATTTTAGATTAGTTTTGGTAAAATTCAAAACTTTAATCACAATTCACAGCGTCGTGTCATTGTATCCAAATCAGAAGTGGGTTGGCGCGGACGGCAACACGGCGATTTCTGTTTAGGCCGGTTCGTGTGGAAGGTAAATTTAATAAACAGCGTTTTTTTGGGAAACACATTTTCAAAATCAAGCTTCAATTAACAAATCATCAAGAATAACGAAATCTTGTTTAAGTCCTCCCTTGATTGAAATTGACCATAATAATATGTTTAGAACGTATATTACTGAAAAAATCGATTATCTTGAATTTAAATACTATTTAGCTATAATGGTCTCTTTGACTATTATTTTTACCTTAGTAAAGCACAATATTTCAAAAAACTTTTAAATCTTTTTATTGGTACAGTATAAATGCTTACAAGAGTAATTAATAATTATTATTATTATGGTAAATTTTTAAATATAATTTAGGATATTATCTGATATTATAAGATATTGTCTGCGTATTTACGTTTAAATTTTAAATCCCTACAGAATAAAATCAAATATAACATGTGTGAAAGTATACGTTGATGTTTCTTACTTAAATTGAGTTTAAAATGTATAAATGAAAGTAAGTACCGTGGGTACAATGCGTAGTAGATCCCAACAAAAGTATTTGTGGATGAGTGGACGCCAGTTTGGGAAACGTCGGTCTATACTCTAGACAAATTAAAATTATCTGTTCATCAATCAAATTTTAGACGAAAATATTTGATATTACACTGAAACAACACTTTAAAAATTAAATTTGTCAACAATTGTATGAATTACTTTTGAAAAAGCAAAATTGTTAAAATCAATCAATTTTTCAGAAAACAATAAAAAAAGAATGGAAAGTGTGGAAGAAAGATTATCAAATTCAAAAATTATGAAACTATAAAATCTGAAGTTATAATTTTCCATCAATATCTCTTAATAAAAATAAAAGGAACAATGTTGGTATGTAACAATATATTATTTAATAATAAAATGTTCATTTTTCAAAGTGTTTGAAAAAATCGTATTAGTTTTAAAATTCAGCATTGTGTTTTTCAATGAATATCAAAAAAAAATATTCCTAAACATTTAAACATATTTATTATTTAGATTTTTTAATTAAAAAGGTGAAACCAAAAAAAATTATTTTGTATATGCAACAGATTTGGATTTTTACATTTAACAGTTTTACGTGGTGAATGCAGTATATGCATACTAGGAAAGAGTTTTTATGGGGGGGGGTAATAAATGTTGATGTCAATCATTCATCCGGAATATTTTCTGATTCATAAAAAAGGTGAAACCAAAAAAAATTATTTTGTATATGCAACAGATTTGGATTTTTACATTTAACAGTTTTACGTGGTGAATGCAGTATATGCATACNATACACGTCATCATAATTATTTCAATCTCCAAATATCAAACTTTTATCGTATCCTCTCGTGTATAGCTCTTAGGTTAGGTTAGGTTAGGTAACCTAACCTAACCTTATTATATTAAATATTTTGTCTTAAAATTCTACGCCATCCGTATTATTATTTTAGTAAGCACATTTGATATTATAATATATTTTTGACCTGTATTGTTTAAAACAAAAATAACAATTATAATAAGTATATGCAATAAATAAAAAAAAAACAAAAACCAATTGTACTACGAACTGATACAGACATAAGAATAATGTACATAATATACATACGATAATAATTATTATAGGTATGAGATTATATTTTGAATTTTTAGGATTGTTTCCGTAACTATTATAAATATGTCCACAGTCACGCGTTCTGGTGCTAGTGATCTGTGAAGACGGTAACGGTCTCGCACGGGTTGTCGTCACCTATCCTCCACCCCCCATGCAAACAACCCACGAATCAACACAATTTTATGCCGCAGACGAGAAGCAATAAAAGTGGTTGAAGGGGATGCACATTGTTACGTAAACCAAACCTACAGCACGTTCAAGTCAGAATATCTAACCCTCCCTTCGGACACCCACCCTTTTAGCCACCGGGCGACATTGGCGTTTTCCGAATCACTGCGTTCTTTCGGTGACAGTGATCGACGTCTCACCCCACTGTGTCACCCACTCCCCAAGACCTTAAACTACCACGTTACCCAACTCTTCCTTCCCCACCGTTTCTTTTACCCTTAACACATATTTAGTCATACATACAAACTACGTATATACACCTACACGTTTATGCATAAACAGAGTTTACCTCGTCGCGTTTACTTCTGAATTCCACGTGTGCTGCCAAACGTCAATTTTCGAGAAAATGCGTGATTTATTTCAAAAAAAAAAATGTTTGTACTCATCGTCCTTCCAATTTCCATCAATATCTGCACGCATGTTTGTCTGTGGCTCAAACAAGAGGCCGTGTAATAATATCGTTACCAAAAAATAAAGAGGTATGAGCGGTCTTAGCGCAGACAAATTAAATTATTAGTATTATTACATAACATTCTAGATTCCGGTTAATTTTAAAACTTAATCTTAATGATTTATATAAATATGCTTCCTCGTCAATTAGACCGATCATCTTCGATCGTTTTTTTGGAAGAATATTCAAATCAAGACGAATTAACAAAATGTAACTCGAATATACGAAAATCATAGGTATGTCGTATATTGTAGACAGCCTTTTTAATATAATTAATGTGATATAAGAGAGAATATTTTAGCAACTCTATAATATAAACAAAAATAATATTCAACTTTAATGAACCAGAACGAAATCCTGTGTGTCACTCTATATAGAGATGACTTTAATGGGTTAAAATTTAAAAAAATTCACATTAATTTTTAAACATAAAGAGGAGTGAACAAGAAGAAGATATGGCATGCATTTGTGCCAAACTAATTGAAATTTTAATTTTTAGATACGCAGAGGTTTATTAAAGGTGGCAGCGCCCAAGTCCAATATAAGAATATTATAAAACAATTATTTAATCATAATATACATTGTATACACCTAATTTGTGAACTTTTAAATTTGGGCATACATTTCCTTCAATCACATCACATTCGTGAAAAAATAATAATAAAATAACAACAAACCGATTCATCGTTTTCCTTTGACTGTTTAAACGAAAAACTGTTATAAAATCGAAGTGTCGAATAAAATAAAATAATTATTCATTCGACTTTAAAAAAATATACGAGTTTTGAACGTAATATTATAAGTAAATCTATATGATCTCGTGATAACTTTAAACGAATTGATTGCTATATCAATTACTGGCTCATAGAGCCATATAATCCGTAAATTTCACATAAACGCTATGCCAAAATCAGAGAACGTTCTTAAAAGCGTGCAACTTGACATTATATTTTAGGTATGCTAAAATAAGGTACAAAGTTTACGATACAAATTAGTGTCTTTATTCGCAATGTTTTTAATAATAATTATCAATTATTTAAATAAAAGTTAGTCAAGATTTATATAAGCCTTGCTAGTCCATAACCATTGTTTTAATTCGTCACAAATTACCTACCTATATAGCTCATAATTATTAATCGACTCATTTTGGTGCACAAAATGCAACATTTTTTAATGTGGTAAGAAATTCTTAGTTCTCACTCGAACGCTTATCAGTAATAAGCAAATTTTTTGTATGCTAATTTGTTCGATCCGCAGAATAATATTAAGTGTCGACAATGACGACTTATTAGACGTGTATTTATATTATATCCCATAATTAATATATTTCTGACCGAACTATCGTGCTTATATTGAAAAAATGTGGTACATATTAATATTAAAATCATCATATAAAAACACCAATGAAATTTAGGTGTCAATCGTTTCTGCAAAAAACTAGATTTTCAGTTCCGCCTTAATATAATATAATTATGTTTATAAATAAGAAAATATAAACAGTTCTAAATTAAAACGCACAAAAATCAAAATATAATGTAACATGTCAATTTCAATGATAAAGTATAGAATTAAAAATTTTAATTATCTATATGTTACGGAACAAACAACCGTTGATATAAAAAGGTGTTTCAAAACCACCAAATAATAATATTGGGAAAAAGATGCGTTGTGACGAGTGAAAATCACACAATGCCCGTTCAACGGTGTGGTTTTCATTCGTCTAAACGCACTTACGCGGACCAACCAATGACGGACTAGATTGTCGAAAAGGGTATAAATACGGGACACTTTCGACAATCTAGTCAGTCAGAATCAAACATTCAACAGTACAGTACAGTCAACGTTCAGTTCACACCCAGAACAGCCCAAGAACCCAAACCAACCGACAGGCAACAGCGCCACAAAACAGCAGTTTTCACCGCTTCTCAACAGGCAACAGCGCCCACTGATTGTCTTCGATCACCGTTCGACAGGCACTAGCGCCCACAGGTAAGCCGCCGCGAAAGCGTCGCAAACCGTTTTTCCGAAACAGCTGTCGTGGGGCCGCGCCCCCTCATTGCCACAGCATCCCATCCCTCCCTACCAACGGAAACAGGAAACCCACACCCCCCAAATAAAACGCTCTTTTCAGAGCGACAGTAAAAATACTGCCACTTTCGCGATGGGCGGTCGTAAACCGCTTAAGCGTAAAGGAGGTGTAGCGCCTCTGCCTCAAACCCAAAACAAAAATTAGCTCGCCAACGCTCAGCGCCTCCCTCCCCTTCACCACCGCCAAACTCCTCCGATTCCGAGACAATCGAGTCCCTTTMTGATTCAAGCTCCTCCACCATGTCATCCTGTTCCTCCGACAAAGCTCCTACCTTAACTGCGTTAACTAAACCCACTTCACCATCCGTACCAAAAGATAACTTAACTTCCGTACCTTCTCTAGCCTCTCCTACAATCAAACCTCCGACTAAACTAACAAACTCCAGACCTCCGCCCATCATCCTAWCCTCCAGCTCCTGGCGTAAGGTCGCGCCCGTCATCTACGGGCTCGCAAACCTTACACCTTCTACCCTAACAACAAAATCAACAGCAAGCAATCAAATTACTCTTCAGACCACCGAACCGACTCAATTCCGTCTCATCCAAAGTACCTTGTTACAAAATGGAACCGACTTCCACACCTTCTCTCTCCCTGAAGAA